TATGACCTTCGGGGGAAGTTTCTCGCCGTTCGCTTTCACCGTTAGTGCAACTGTGAAACTCTGCTTGTCGGCACCGCATGACAACACTGGAACTGTTCTATTCCCGGTGAACTCCAAGGTTCTGGATCTCTGGTTCTCGGATCGTTGAATATTTATTAGAATCTTTATAAAAAACGAAATATGTCTCCTGAGCAGGAAAGCTGAAATTAACGTGTATGCGTTGTTTGTTTACACGCAAGTTTATCATTAGAGGTGCGAACTTTTAGCTTTTGTTTTCGTGTATATCATTAAATGTGTGACTTTTTCACTTTTGTTGAAATTTGTTCACGTTTACAGAGAGTTTGCGTGCTAATTGTGCCAAGAGAATAAAATTTTATCTTTATGAACCCTTCATTTCTTGGTGCGTCTTATAACCGAGTATTTTCACATAATTTTCAGTTTGGGAACTTTGCATGATTAAGTTGCCAAGTTTGGGGTGCGTCTTATAGCCGAATGCGCCTTATAACCGAGAAACTACGGTAAACATAGGCCAGAGTTAAACAGTAGACACATTTTAGAATAAATATTAGTGAAAACTTAATTAAACGACGTTTCATTTCTACATTGCAAAATTATGAAATTTATCTTGAGAACCTAGTGATCAATGTCATGCATATTTTTCACCCGTGTGGAGGGTATCCAAAGCTAATCTCATTAAAGTAATTGGTTAATAGAGACAATGGCAAGTGCAGCTTATCTGTAAATATTCTGTGACGAGAGCTTGGTGGGATAATAGCTATTTCAAAGCTACTGTGACAAAGACCCTGTGGCAGAGGCTACCCTAGTAATCAACATCGTACGAGCTGTCAAGATTAATTCCTCGCTATCTGCGATTCCGGGTGATTTCGGGAACGCATCTTGCTTTGTCTCTTCACTTTCAAGATCACCTCACATGAATGTCTTAGACCAATTTCAATATGGTAAGACTCTTACTTGGCTCCGAGGCTTAGGAGAAAAGAACAAAAGAAATCACGGGGAGGTTGAAGGATTAATACTCAATTTCTTTTGTTTTATTCCCCTCGGAGCCAAGCTAGAATTTTAATATATCGGAATTGACCTGAACCATCTTTATTTTCTTTATTTCTTTATTTTTTTTTATTTTCTTAATAAAGTTCTCACTCACTCATTTATTTTAATCTATTTATTGTGCTGTTTTTAGTGATTTGTAAACAGTGCAACAATGTCTTGAGCAAGCAGGCCCTGTTGAACCAGATGCGGGAGTCTGCTGCAGCCCCGCCCATGCCCACGCCTGTCACTGAGGCTCCTTTGGAGGTTGCGTCATGTGAACTTGAGGGGGTAAGTAGAAAATGACAATTGTTGATAGTGTACTCCCCAGGGCGCCTTCCTAGGTTAGCTTCTTATGAAGATGTTAAAAGATCCTCTGAAATCTTCACGTAATTTTATATTGTTGATCGCTGAGTTGTACAAATTGGGTCTAGGGGTGGTGGGGGCAGAATGAGGTGGAACTTTCATAATAAGGTGATGGGGTTTAAGGCAACGATAAATTTCTTGTTATGGCGGTTTCTCTTAAGATGTTATAGTAGAAAATGACAATGGTACTTTTTAGGGTATATCGAGCCGGAAAATGAAACAGGAACTGCGTTTGTCACAAACTAAGAATTATTTGTAGCCTCCCATGCAGGCGCTTGTTGGGATCGTCACTCATTCCTCCCCAACGCGAAACGCGTCATGAGATTAGACGTATGATCACGATGTCAAGGGCCCAAAGAGCATCAGTATTGGAGGTGAATCTTTTAGGGGTTCTCTTGACTCCACACCGATTAATATCCATAGAACAGATATTTGGAACAAACTGATATTGATCATTAACTGACTTTATTATATGGCTAGCTCTGTTAGCGGCCAAGGTGAACCAAATCCTGCGTTGTGATTGGCCACCCGAGCTTAGAACAAGGAGCTATCTTAGAACATGGAGCTAAAAAAAGAATAAATAATAATAATAATAATGATGATAATCATAATCATAACCATAACAATAACAATAATAATAATAATAATAACAATAATAAAAAGAATGAGGCCAATATGCAGCCATCTTGACTGAACAAGCTTGGTCAATGACCCATATGTATATCTTCTACCTTGTAGGAGCACATGGAAACAGGCACTTCAAGTGCGCAAATGACTGACAGTAACGTTTCATCCAACAGCCTCGAAACTAAACTGAGGAGTCTTAAAATACCGTCCAGTTGGCAGGATGATGAGAGATTTCTCAGTCCCGATGCTGGGAGCCTTGTCTCAAGTACAAGCGACGAGGCACCAGCCGCTAAGCCAGCCACGTCTCACTCAGTACATTCCAAAAAACTGAATGAGTATGAACGAACGTCGCACCAATAACTTAACCTTGGATGGAATGGGATAAAGTTAGTGACAGCACCAAGCGAAGATACACTAAACCAACTGTAGAGATCGTTTCTTCAGTCCTTCATACTCTCTGTCCTAATGACCCAGGTTCTCTTTGGCAAGCAATAGTCTCGTCCCCAGCCATAAACAAAGCTCTTGAATGAGATGACTTACCACAAACGGCCAAGGATTATCTCCAGGCCCTAACCGAGGCGTACAACCAAGCTCACGGTTGGGACACAAGAAGGCAGATCCTGTCTATCATGTCCGGTGTTGCCAGCTTCAAGGATGTCTCAGGCTTCATACCTGGGCTGACAAGATATCGCTTTACTTTGGCCAACCTGCATTGCCTGCAGTGTGGACGTGGTGCTCTGTTGATGCACCAGCCCTTGCCAAGAATAAGGGTTGATCAACAACAACTTGACCATTTCCTATCATTCATAACGAGCCCCCATTTGGTACAAGATCTGCCCTTTGGACAGAAAACCCTGAAGCTCTCGTCCGGCCAGCTGATAGAGATACCAAACATCATCCGAACAATGATACCGTAGAGAATAGCGCACCAGTATAGCCATTACTGTGAGGAGACAAACTTCAAACCATTTAGCAAACGAACCATGCTGCATGTACTGGCAGAATGCAAAGCGTCTGTCGGAAGTCTCTTCAGGGGCTCGATTATTTCGTGGCAGATGGTGTGCGTGCATTTGAAGATCTTGACAATTTAGTTTGCCAACTAGGTGATCTTGGTCTGGGGAATGAGTGGCAAGTGCAGCAAGTCGAGCTGCTAAAAGCAGCCAAATCATACATTAAAGGAGACTTCAAGGTAACGCTCTTTGTAAACGTAACATTGGCTTTGCGAAGAGATGTTAATTCCAGTATGTTGAAAACAAGGAAGTCTTTCTCCCCAATTCGAAAATGGGAAACAAATTATTGCAACAGGTTGACTAGCTCTATATAGACATATATAGACATATTGGCATCATTTTTTTTGTTGTTTACACTTAGCCATGATACAATAGATACAATAGATTTGAAGAAAATTGATTAATTATCTTTGAAATCCAGCTTCCTATTTCTGCATAGTAATTTTGTGGGCCGCAAGCCACTCATTAGATACTCACGACATCTCTCCAATGTCCTGATAGGTTCATGTGAGCAACTCATCTCTGGTAGCAAGTCACTGCAGTGTTTTTGCCCTCAGCGACACTACCAATCCTGACCTACAACAGCAGTGCGACCACAGCCATGACCAGATGCGTGAACAGAGCGAAAGTCTACACTCGACTCTGCACAGCATCACAGAGGCAGTTAAAGAGGCATCTTTTGTAACAGAGGATGACAGAAATGAAGCTGGGTACCTTGCAAACTCCGCCACCCTTTCTATCAAGTCATGGATATGTCACTTGCTGAGATCAGTCCACCAAGATCAGGCTCGCTTGGATATCATTGACACTCTCGATCCTGAGGCAGTTTTAATCGTGAATGACTGGGTGATGAAATTTTTGCCTCAAAGATACAGAGAGTCACAAACGGAATGGTTTGGTAAGCGTGGCTTATCATGGCACATGTCTGTTGTGTACCGACAGAAAGAGGGAGAACTTCAGTGGCAAGGCTTCATCCATATAATCCAGTCCTGCAGCCAGGGAAGTTCCGCTGTGGCAGCAATCATGCACCATGTACTTACAACCCTAAAGCGCGAACACCCTGAAGAAAACAAAGCCTACTTCTGTCATGACAATGCGGGCTGCTACCACTCCTCTCGCACATTACTAGCGTGCCGCGAGATGCCAGCCAGCACTGGAGTACAAGTTGTCCGCATTGACTTTAGCGATCCTCAAGGTGGGAAAGGGGCTGTAGATCAGTTGGCTGCAACCTGTAAAGGACACGTCAGGGCTTTTATCAATGAAGGCCACGATGTTTGTACTGCTACGGACCTGAGGAACGTGTTGCTATCATATGGGGGATTGGGAGGAGTGCAAGTGGTCTCACTTAACACTATCAACAAAACACCAGATGATTCGCGAAGTATCTCAGGGATCACTAAGCTTAATAATTTTCAGAGTCAATTACCTGTTGGCGCGCATATTCCATTGGCCGTGGAAAAACAATTAAACCGGAAAAGCCATCATCTGGTAAGTATCCACATTGTATTTTAGAACTTCCCCAACACATAGACACAGACAGACCTGGTCGCACACTCAGCTATGGTAACGGTGTGTCCCATAGACTTGATAAGCAGAGTCTACGGGACGCACCAGTTACAAGTTTCCAAGTGCGCCAAGAAAACAAAATAACAAGTAAAAATGTACCTTTTGAAATAAACATTAAACTAAACCAACTAAGATAACATAACTACGATAAAATATCTAAACATGTATGACAATACCAAAGAATGTATACAAGTTGTTCAGATAAAAACACGCAATCGTGGTCTTGTTGGAATGCTAATTGTATTTGATAGAATCTCAAGTTTTCTCAC